AAATTATGCAACCAAGTTTACTCTTCTCTTTTGAAATTTTTACAAAGAGTGACACATCTGCGTCAGCAAGTAGTGCAACTGTCGTACCACCTGAACGTGGTAAATGATACACTACAGTGTTGGAAAAGGAAAATCTTATTCAAGAAAGCCTCCAATCACCTGAAAGAACATATTAATAAAACTGCGACTCTGCATTGGTTAATAAGTGGATATTTATACCCAGAGACTGAAGAGTTTGCACTGTCAACTGTGAAAATTACTGGGCGATTTGTTTGTCATGTTGCATACGTAAATTGTACTCAAGGATAGTGGAAGTAAAATTGGGAAGGGATGTAGAGGAAGGCTTCGAAGATGAGCCAGGAGCCTTTCGACTATACAAACACAAGACCATACTTAGACTATAAGAACAATAATTGAAAAAACATTGAGTAGGGGCAAAACAATATCTACTGCTTTCATAGATTTAAAGTGAGCGTTCGATACCCTATCCGGGGAAGGACCATGGGACTTATTAGAGAAAGCAAAACGATGAGGATAATTAAAAGCATATATAAAAATGTGTATGGTACTGTAAGTCTGGGTGGACAACTAAGTGGGAAATTTAGAATGGACAAAGGTGTTAAACGGTAATTCATTGATCCCCTTAATATTATTATTATTATTATTATTATTATTATTATTATTATTATTATTATTATTATTATTATTATTATTAATGTTCATGGATCTAGTTATTAAACAAACCGAAAGGCGAACTAAGAAATGTAAAATTGAAAATTAGTAAATGGGACCGATATGGATACAAGCCTTGATGGTTCGTGGACGATATTTTATTGATCGCCAAAAATCCAAGAGAGCTGCAAGATATGGTAATTGAGGGAGATTTGCACTGGAGGATAGGAGTATTAAGATAAACATTATTAAGAGCAAGGTTATGTGTATAGGCAAAGAAAAGGAGGAAATGAACATTAAGTGGAGAGAGGAAAAATGGAGCAAGTAACAGGTTATTAGTATTTAGGAACAATAATTTTGGGAGACGGAAAATATGAGGAGGAACTGAAAAATAGAGTGTAGAAAGCAAACTCGATGTTTTATCAAATAAATACGAACTTACTAAGAATGAATGTAGCCACTCAAACAAAACTCCAAATTTATAAACTGCATGTAAACATGTAAAATGGAACTGAAAGTATGCTACATAATACGAAAACAGAAAGTATAATCACGGCAGTAGAAATGAAATTCCTATGCAGGGATAGTAGGAAAACAAGAAGAGATCGGATAAAAAATACCCCAATTCGAGAAGAACTAAAAGGTACACCGCTACTGAAGGAATGGAAAACAAGGCTCTAAAGTGGTATGAACATGTTAATTTAACGGCAGAGGATAGAATGCCGAAACAAATGATCGAATCCAGGCCAGAAGGAAAGTGACCGCCTGGGAGACCAAGAGTAACATGGGATGAATATAGAGGGTATATGCTAAAAGAACCGGAGCTTCATTAGGAGAGGTGAAGCGAAATGCCCAAGACAAAACAGAGTATATCAAATCAAACATAATTGATTAAACAATTTAACTCTCAAAATTACGTTTGCATGGGATTCGTGGTGTTGCTCTAGATTGGTTATGTTCGTACCTTAAACAACGATCTCAGAGAGTAGAAATACCTTACTGGGATAATGGAACATTATGTACACACCTTTCTGATTCTTTGCCAATTGCATGTGAAGTCCCGTAGGGATCGATTTTAGGCCCTATACTCTTCTTACTATACGTAATCGGTATACCCTCGACGATTAGAATCGGAAGAACAGTTCTTTTTGCGGATGATACTAATATTCTTTGCAATAAAGAAACCGTAAATAGTGCAATATCAGATATTTCAAATTGGTTCCTTTATAACAAATTAATAGTAAATGAAATGAAAACTGTTTTAATGCAGTTTTCCATTTCAAACAAACAGCTCTGCACTTCACTGAAAATGAACGGTGTGCAATTGACTGATGTTAACAAAATGTGTAATAAAATGGTACATGGTAACATAATGTTTAAGTCTTTCGATTCAGTCAAACATTAAATGGAACGTCCTTTTAAATGAATTGAACACTAAATTGTTCTTTATGCTACGCTTTCAGAATTCTTTCAAAATAGTGAAGTAAGCCTACACACTGCTCGTGAAAATTTCGCGAATGTTCATTCCCGTCAGAGGCATAATATTCTGGGGAAATACATGTAATAGTTCCCAGACTTTTAGATTACAAAAACGAACGTCCGAATAATAAGAAAATCCCACCCCCGTGATTCTTGTAAGCCTCTCTTTATTCATCTAGGTATTTTACTATTACCTTGTCTCTTCATCTATGAATCAGTGGTTTTTTTTCAAAAATGACTTACTTAAGGGCGGAAATATATTTTCAGCAAACGCCGTTGTCTATATCTACAACACTCGACGTAGTAATCATATTCCTCAGGTAAAAGTATCAACAGCGTACTTCAAAAAGTTCACTTATAATACTTGTACATTATTTTACAACACCTTGCCAGATGACATTAAACGATTCGATACAAAAGTTTAAGTTCCAAGTAAAATCTTTTCTGCTGCAGAACTGTTTCTATACAATTACAGACTTTACCGAGCATCCAAAAGGAAAGTAACATTAATTTTAACATTTAAGTATTGTACTTGAGCTTCTGGTTCAATGACCCACATCTCGATCCGGTTTTCGTCCAGTTTCCCTGATCCTAGGGCAAATGCTGATATGGCCCCTTGTTTTGCTTCTAGACATACATGTAACTTCAAATTCACTTTTTTCCCATAGTACGTCACACACAGTTTTTAACTGCTTTTGACGTCAATAAATATAAAATAAATATAATATAATAGTTAAATGGCAAACACGACGCTGAGATGCAGCAGGGGAAGAATAAGACTGAAGGGCTTATAACCGCTATCTAAGATAAGGCTCATCTAAGCAAAAACTACGAAAATTGTAATGAAGATTAATGAGATAGACAAAAGTAGAAAAAGTGAATCATATGGCGAATCAATTGAACATTTAAGGTGGTCTGACCGCCATTTTCACGCAACGCCTACATTGAAAGGCACAACCCACTAGATACAGTAAGTACTTGCTTTTTAAACAGGGGTTTCTGGACTCTTCTACGCCATATTACAAATTTTGTCCAGCCCCTGTATTGGAAACAAAGAAGCGTGTTTTCCTGACTTGATTTACTGGTACCTATTTGTTATAACGGACAAAAGAGTGAATTATAACAGGCCTGATATCCTCCTTATTGATAAAACCAATAAAATAGCTTCTATAATTGATATTGCAGTTCATCTGAAGCATAAAATCAGAAAAACTGAATTAGAAAAGATCAGAAAGTATGAGAAACTTGCAATACAATACAATGCAATGCAATGCAATGCAATGCAAGAAATAGTTGGAGAAAGTAGGAGGAGTAGGAGGCAGTTGGAGAAAGTTCATATTTATTCCTTGGTGATCTCATCGGAAGGTGTGATATCGAAAACTTTTAAAAAGAATGAGAAATTTGTAACTATCAATAAAATTGCCAACTGTTAGACAAAAGGCAGTCTTACTTCAGACTTGGCACAATGCTCGAAGATTTTTACAGTAAGCTCAAGCGGGGTAGAGTGAATTCCCTTTTCATAAGTGTAGAATCTGGTCCTAAGACACCTAAGACAGATTCCTTTTGCCCAATTTAACAGAGAAATTAACTTATAATAACAATATTTATAATAATAATAATAATAACTATAATAATAATAGAACTACTTTCAAATTTTCATTATTTTCCTCATATCTTCAGGAATTTTCTTTCATTGATGTTAAAGAATTTGGAATTTGGAGGAACGTATTGCAGAAACAAGACTTCTTAAAATTTGTTTGAAACAAGTGTGCTAGATAACAAAGTCGTTTCTTTATTATTGATGGGAAATCATTAGACTGTACGCATTTCCATGCGTTCCATCGCATCTTCCATGCGATCTATCAAATTTCGTCTGTGATCACGTTAAGTCGGGACGTTCACATTCGAAATTCACCGATGTTATTTAATTTGCCTTTATAATCGGTTTCAGATTTGGCGTCGTTTCTTCGCGATGATTAAAAGAAATTTATCATTTTTGAAGTCGCGTATTTGTCTCTACTAGTGTCTGTAGTACTGATCCTACTGGAACTGGGAACAATATTATCGAGAAATATTTTAAAGAAAAAATGGTTAATGATTCTCAGAACATTAAAATATACGTATTCATAATTTATGTCGTCATGACTGTGGCGTCTACGTGTCGCAACGTTGGAATTTGCTGACAATAATTCCTTGGTCTTCCCACGATCTACTTTATATCTGGCGCCAACACGTCGCGACGGCAAGACAAAACGCGACATTTTAAAGTCACGAGTTCTGTTTCAATACTGTCTTTCAATGTAAGGAATGTTCCTTACGTGTCAGAATTAGAAATGAGTTTCTGGTCAGAGAGAAGGTTTAAAACTTACAAGTTCAGCGTATTCTTTACTTTCATGATTCACAGACCAATAAATCAGCAAGTTCCACGCATTCATCAGTTATCAAATTCTCTCTGGGCTGCGTCATCTATAGTACAATTTATTTAGTCGTGCACCTGATGTAAATCACTTGTTGCCGTGTCATCCAATCGGGAGCTTTTATGTCGCTACAGTGACGTTGCGATGAGGACGTTTAAGCTCCCGATTGGATGAATCCAAGAACAGCTGATTTACGTCAAGTGGATGGTGCAATAAATTCTAGCCTAGACGTCGTGACGTTGGCAATCGGAATTCGCTGATGTTTCCCACGGAACGTTCCACTCCTGGCGTCGGAAAGACGACCCGCTCCGGCGCGGCTGGACGTTTGCAGGTGTCTTCACGGAGCAATGGTGTGCGGCCCTACCATGGGGGGGGGTGATTAGTCACGTGACCAGGTGGTATAAGAGAGGATGCTTGTGGGCGAGGAACTCATTTGCGCTCCCTGATTATCCGTCGGCTGACAGGATGGCTTCCGAGATGCGTCCCGTGGTTGTGCGTGTGAGGAAGCAGCCCAGAAACGACGGTGAGTGGTCCATCTAGCTAATGTGTCTTACCAACGTGAACTTGGAAAATTCGGTTTCTTGTTCTTATGTATTCGTGATCGTTGAGGATTGAGAACCTTAAAGTGCATGGTATGATAATTTTGTTAGTCAATTTACGTATTTAGTTAAGTTAATTGGTTCATTAGGTGAGATCTGAGTAGCAGCATGTAGATATTACTGTTTATTTCTACTAGTTTTTTTTAAAATTCAATGTAAAACGCATATGCTGTATATTGAAAATAAATTATTGTGTGCGCGTAATTGTGATCGTATCCCTCAATAATATACTGAAATGTAGCATTCTGGTGTATTTAAATAATTGAGCCGTTGCGTTATGTGTGGGCTTTTGCGCAGAAGGTATTTGTTGCGTTATATGTGTGGCAGATTGTGTTCACACTATGCCATTTGCTTTGAATACTGAGTTGACGTATTTTAGGTGCACACACACATTTGTTTTCTCTGGTGATTTGTGAAGCCTAAGAAAAAAACATAATAATGAATAGCACATTGTTTTGGCATGAAAACGTTTTGAATATGAGTCTGTACGAAATACACTAAAAATAACATATTGTTTCAGATCCAACCATCATACTGGCAAAGATGTGTTTACATATCACCGTCGTTTGCTTACTTATGGCAATCCTAATTCTCCTCTTGAAAGCTTCGAATGATTCGGTAAATATTACATCTCGCCACTTGGTAACGTGTTATGTGTATTCTAACAATAATTATAATATTCCAGTGAAAGAGTAAGGAGATATTCCTCACTTATTGCATATACTATCTTTTTGAAATGAAATGACTTAGTGAGTTTTTTTCCATAATAAAATGTATATAATTTGTTGGTTTCAGAACAACAAAACCTGCGGCAAGATGAACATGTGCTCCGCTATGTGTCATAATGAAAGCACAGTCGACAAGGCATGAAGTCGACTTCTAAGAACAATAAAAAGAGCAGATTTTCAGTAGTTATGATTGAAGAAAAGTACGTTTTGCCATACGGATTTCTCATACCGTATTTATGGCCTTTCCAAAGGGTTCATTTTCCAAAGGGTTCATAATTTCCAAAGGGTTCATTTTGTAAACATTGATTAATGATTCGAACGTGTAAATGAAACTGTTTGTAATTTCAAAATAATGCATATATTCACAGGAAAATATATCCACAATATCAGATGCAGGTATAAAATTCGGTTTGAATAGAAAATATTGCATTATATTATGATTCATTCTTACTTACTTTTCAAATTGATAGAAAATATTACTTTGATGTCTTGTGCACCCTTTTTATAATTTGTGGAAAACTTCAATAAAGAGAATCTGTTAAGAGATGTTTTCTTTGGTTTTTATTTCCCCTAAAATCACTGGTTTGAAAAGAAAGTATCCCAGCATAAATTTTTCATAGCATTATCTTGAACATTCTCACCCGCTGAGTCAATCAAAAGCTTTATATAGTTGCATTACAATTTATAATGTTATCATTAGATGGTATAATAATACAGTGAGTTCAAAACGTGTCTCCGCATTGACCCCACTCCCCCATTCTTTTCTGCGGAAACGGCAACGTCGCAGGGCTTAATCAACGCGGCGGCGTTCGAATGTTTCTGAGAAGCGCGCTCGCTGCAAGGAAGCAGTAGTCGAGATAAAAATACGGGATCGTGTTTTTCGTATCCAAGTTTGACTACGTACAAGTGGTTTGTTGTGAGTTAGATTATAACTCAGAATGCTGACCCTGGAAGAACATGTATTTTTGGTGGGATATGTGTTTCGAGCTCGGGCAATAAGTACGCGGATTATGTGAAACAAATGATCGTGTTCGGGAACACCATAATTCCGAAAGGGCTACGGCCGTCATGATCACCAGATCTCATACCTTCTGATTTTTTTTTCTGGGGAGTAGCTAAAGGAAATGATATTATGTCATATCCATATCTCCAGAAACTTTAAAAAGAGTTTTCGATAGTAAATGGAATAGGATAAAGCTTCACTTTCAAAATGCTGCTAAATATTTTCAACACATGATATAATAATATAATTTTGAAAAGTTAAAAACATATTCTTTATTTCAAATGCTTTTTTAAAATTTTAGTGTCACTTTTTCCGCATTGTATTGTGTTTCACATCACGCTCTATTGTTGCTGTTGCGACCAGAGTGAAGCCGCCGTCGCTGATACAGCCCGCAATGTTGCCGTTTCCGTATGAAGGCTGGTGGAGTGGGGAGACAGCCACCGTGAAGAGACTTTTTGAACGATCATAATATTAATATGATTTATGATAATATCGTATTAAGGATTCTTGGACAATTATTAAGAGTACACATTTTTTATTTTCATGGCACAATTCAAAATTTGCAGTTAATCTGAGTTTGATAATAGTACCAGAATTATCACATACTTTGAAAACGAACTTAATAACTATTTTCTGTCTTCAAATTAAACTAAGGATTCAAATGCTGAATATGGCATTGAATGGTTCCATCACCGAGTGTGCCACTTGTAATATCTACGTTACGCTAGGTTATTTCATTATAATTATCGTCCTTTATATATTGTATAGGCATAAAACATAAGCGTGAATATGGAGATTGAGAGACAGATATGAGAAGTGAATGCGCGAAATTTTATTTCTATGTGTTGCAACGTGTTTTTAACTCTGTGCTAAAGGTCCTATAACACTGAGTCACATATCCGGCTTTTCGTGGGTCTTCTAATTCTTTTTTTTTGCCATTACGCCCACAAATACCACTTTTATACCTGAATCTCAGATTTCAGCAAAAATACGATTCCTCTTCCAAATACATCATATTAATTCCAAAAATGAAATCAATTTTGCTTGCATGTCTGCTTTCATTATTACTACTTTGATGCATACTATAGACACATTTATATGTTACTCTTCATGCAAGGAAACAAATATTACGACGTTCATTATCAAAAGTATGATGTTTGACCAAATATTGAACCGCAAAACGATATCTCTCTACTGATTCGATTAACGACAAGTATAGTATTACTTTTCAGTGAGTGAGCAGTTTCTATTTAGCAGAAGGTCTATTGGTTGCACGTGCATCGTTTCCGGTTATGCCTTCAAGAAGGCATTCTGATGTAACGCAAATACTAGGTAGATTTCATGAAGCGCGAAAGAAACTTTTATCTTAACACGGTCGATTGATTAGCGATCCCCACAGCGTCGTTTGACCCTCAAGTGTCGTAATGTTTCTTTTATCGCGAAGGCGACGATGATGTCCCCCCATCCCATGGAAGCGGATATCCGGTGCCGACCTAAACGTCGAATTTTTCGTTGTTTTTTTTCGCACGAATCTTCTTCCAGCGTGGCACCTCCCCAGCCCTAAGCTCCCGACAGATCTTCCGTCATGTGTGGTAGTGAAGTGCGTATGTGTAAGTAAGAGGCGAGGATATGAAACGGAATAGAAAGGAAAAGTAGCACGCAGTTCGTGGCTCGTTTGTTATGGTACTTCTCCGGCATTCGCCTGGTTGATCGGAGAAACCTCGGAAAACTACCAATCAGAGCAGCGGGCCGCTATCATGTCCCCCATCATTTCTCACGCTTCCCCCCTAGAGCAGCTCAATTCGACCTAGTTAGGTACCTAGTGCCGAAAATCCTGCCACCATCGGGGCTCCAGCGCTAGGACCTCCCGGACCGCTGCTAAGGGAGAGAAACCATTCCAAAACCGCTGAGCATTGTAATTGAAATTTATAGAAAATCAAATAGCCTGTTTACTTTTATCGTGAAAGATAATTTCAGTATTTTCCTTCAATTTAGCTTCCCATTTATTTCGTCTTCTGCACTTTTCTGAGCATCCATAGAGTAGGGGGCGCCCAAAAATCTAAATCTGCAAAATTAAAAAAAATAATAAAAGGTCTTAAGTTGTAAAATACTGCCTAAGAACATACTCTTTGTTCATCCGTCTCCCTTCATTCCCCCAATGTCCCTCATCTAGCATTTACGTGTCTCCAAACTGTCCCTCATCTATTCTCTAACCCCCATTGTCCCCCAATTGACCTAAAAAATACGTCGTCTGTCAGAATTCACCACACGCAAACCCGGTTAAAAAGCATTAGAATGCATCGCTCCCGAGTTATGAGTGATTACGATGTTTGTAGCAATAATTGGTTTTGTATGTCATGATCTGAAAACTTTTATTTTTACTTTTTCGCTAATGCGTATGCAGTACAGAGAATGTATTTTAATGCTGCGGGAAAAAACGCGAATTTTCGACACAAAAACTCTTATTGCCTGGCCCTCGTGGATTAAATCTTATAATATATATATATATATATATATATATATATATATATATATATATATATATATATAAATTACTTTCGATCTACAATGTTTTATAACACAAACAGTTGTTATTTTTTCAATTTTATTTTCATAATATAAAAGTAGGGTAAAGTTGTTGATAAAATTAAATAAGAAGCACGTGTTTGGCTGTAGACCAATGTGAGTGTGGTATGGGCACTAAGAAATCTTTCAAAAATGTTATTATATGTATTTTAACTAGCGTTCATTAGCTTTTAGAGAACGTTTTACTTTCTTATGCGGGAATTCCCTTTATGAAAACATTTTCTGTATATTTCTTGATTAAGTTAAGGTTTTGCAAGGATTTTAAAACATTTTGCCATAGTAAATAAGGTTGTCTTGGAATCAAGCATTCTATTATTCACACGGATTGCACTGTCTAGCTAAAGAAAAATTAAACAATAAAAGAATGAGAAAGAGACTGGAATGAATTCGTGTCAACACATTTATTCCCCTTCATTCCCGAAGCCCAGGTATGAGAAACCTATTTATGGATCAATCAATACCTGAAAGCAGTCTCCCTTCCGGAGTTCTGCTAAAAGCCAGGAAGTTCTACTCAAACTTGCTCTGCCCTTTGGGATACTCCGCATTTTTTCTTGAATCCCTACTACTGAGAAGTGGAGATTCGATTAGTTGGCTTTTAGCTTGCCAAAGAGCAAACTTGGTTCCTGCCCGATACACTGTCTTCGAAGTCGAAAGCAGTCAATTTACTTGAGTCGTCTTGCATCCCCCTCAGAATTGAAGTTTCTGATTTTGTAAAAACAGAAAAGCGATTTAGATGGTTGTGTTTGTGTGTAACACTTTTTTAGAAGGGTTACAGATGAGTTGGAACATGTTCCTTTGTGTTCATAACGTGAAATTTAAAAAATGGAAAATTTAAGGGTGTGTTGTGATGAAGGAAGACTCAATTCATGTTCACTAAATATTTTAAAACACTACGCATTCATTAAAGAATGCAAAAACTTATTTTTAATTTTATTTCGAAAGTAATTCGTTTTTGTATATAGAATAATTTGCATCAAGTTTTGTTGAGAAATGCAGTGAGTGAAAAGTATAACACATGTCACACAGCACATTTCTTATCCTTGTTCTCAACCTTACACCCGAAATAAAGTTCGTTCAAAATACACTTCCTTATCAGAGGATTGAGGTTCCGTTTTTCTCTATTTCTGAGTTAATTCTTCACAGACACGACAAAACGAATTTGCGCTATTTACACAGCTACGAGGCATTTATTCTTGTGAATTAATACAATGCACACACCTTCACGAACCGAGAGCATAGCAATCACATCCAAGACATGACCTGAACCCTGCTCTCCGATCTTTCAAAGCTTGGACGCAACTGACAAGAAAAACAAAACAATTTGACCATGTTCGAGCGTGAATTATCAATAGAGGTCGGATTTTAATGAATTATTGTTTTTCCTTTCACTTTAGAACAATGCTGTTTTGTATAGAAATTCATTTTATGTTATAACAAAACTAAATAACCCATTTTATACGTCATTTTTTGCATTTTTCATCGATATTAACTAATAAGGCATTTTTGTACCTTTTCACATTATTTTAATGCATTTTTCGCTGATTGTATGGATTTTAATATCATTTTAATGGGACTTCCTTCAAACAATATTTCCGAAGAGCAACTAATGTTCCCTACAGAATTTCCGAGTAGCCTATTCGATTCTTTCGCTCATATATTGTAATATCAGCCGTTGTCATTACTATGTAATCTAAGGTTCCTGTGACGCCTATCGGCGCCATTGTAAGTTCGCGCGATACATAAAGGCAGAGATTTTCTTTTAAAGATCTGTTCAAATCAAAAGTTTGCAAGCTGAGTTCACTTGAAAAAAGTAAGCAGTCGCGATTACATCAGTAACTATTCAACAGCTGGAGTTGTTCATCTGAAGTGGTTTTGATCAATTTTTTACGTCATTTTTCTTTGTTTTAATGCATTTTAAAGCATTCTAAGAACATTTTATTGATCATTTTGGCAATGTTTTATGTCATCAAAATCCGCCCCTAGTTATCGGCAATGCTACCACCCCTTTTTCATTTACTAGAGGTGAATTTTCTGAATCCAGTGTCATGTATATACAATGTTTTGAAGCACTTCCGAGGATAAGGAATAGCGTGCCACAAGAAAACTGCGCTTGATAGGCAAAAACTGATTTCATATCCGAAGTCAGTGTCCAGTTCGTAGCTAAGAACACCATTCATATTCTTTGTTACAAACATGCTGGTGACAAGTGTTAATACTTCACCAGATACACATATTTCTGGAAACACAGTGAGCATATAACATCGCCGAATAATCTACTGAGTTTGGATAAAGCAGTATGCCTTATTCAGATGTCCGTGGAACTAAAACAAATTCCTTCAAGGGATGTGGCCTCCAGAACCTTTCGAAGACCTCAACCCCAGAAGTGTAACCTGTGAGCCAAAACTCACCTTGTAGACGTCGAGCTGTCCGCAGAGCATGTCGAACTGCGAGTAGAGGTCCTGCAGCATGTTGATGACCATCATGGGCGTGGCCGTGGAGCAGATGGAGGTGAAGCCCACGATATCCGAGAAGAGCATCGTCACGTCGTCGTGCGTCTGCGCGTCGATGGACTCGCCTGCGAACGCAAGGGAAGCACCCGATCGATAATACAATCGATATACACTACAACCTCTCCAAGACGGAACCTGACAGTTTCTTCAAACAGATTCCGTGTCGGCAGGTTTCCATTTAAAGGCAGCTACCAAAAACTAACCATATAGCTTTAGTAAGTAACGTTTGACATAATTGTGGTAGAGGTACACAATAGAGAAAATGAAGCATATAAATGTATCAAAGAAAATATTGCAGGAAATAAAAAGCGAAACACGTTTCTTTTAACAACGCGTAACACAAACAGTGGTATGCACCTCATCAACTCTACGACTGATACGCTAGGATGACAAGAACGCCTTCCCAGAATTCCATGAAGACTTAAGGAAACGTCGTGACACTTTTGACAATTGATGGATGACCAACATTAGGTATTCAGAGCAACAGCGACTAAATCGCATATGTTGCGAACTTGAAAATCGCACCAAAGCGGGAAGGTGCCAAATAGTCACTGAGCTCGCCAAAGATTCCCTGACAGCAGTGTAAGACGTAAAGCTCGAGCGATCCTTCTCAATAAGCCATTCCAAATAGAGTGCCCGACATTTAAAAATTAACATCTCTCTTAGCTAAGTAATAATCAAAAACGTTTCCGTTTCCACGTTAGATTTCTGGCTTGTAGAGGTCATTTTTACGTATACAATTGTTCTGATCTGATATTTTTTGTTCGGGATGGCAGGTTTCCATTTTAGAAAGGTTTCGTCTTTTACATTTCTTACTGTAACAAAAACATCAAAAGAGTATATATAACCCATTACAACGTTTTCGTAGTTGGAATGAACTTTACTCCACTAATTAATTCGTGTTTTTGGGTGGATCAACTGCTATTGTCATTAGTCCCGTAAGTATTTCCCCTCGAAAGTTGGTGGCCTGCGGGATCCCGCGTTGACTTACAAGTTTTTCCTCATCCAGGTATCTCCCATCAGCCGCGCACTGCTCCATCGGGAGAGCCTATGTGCATGTGGGTAAGGGTTGAGGGTAGAATAAACAAGAGGCCGGAAAGATCGCGCGGAGACCGAGACACGTTTGTAAGGGTACTGCTCCGGCATTCGCGTGATATTGATCGGAAAAACCACAGAAAACTACTGATTCAGAGCAGCGGACGGCTAGAATTCTCCTCCAGAGGCTAGAGGCACAGCCATGTGATCAATAGAGGCGCTCAGTCGCCTCAGCCTGTACTTAACTAAAGAAGTTTTACGTGGGTGTTAATTTAAGCGTTCGACCGGCCAGCAGAACACGTGCCTATGATCAAATTGTGAAGTAGAGGCAATGGAAGGAAACTTCCAATCTGTCTGCCACTCTATCACTTTATCAGTTCGGGCGGTGTGTGCACTTACTCTTACTTTGTTGTTCCATGGAACTTTGCACAACGACAGATATTACATTCTTATATAAAGGTACAAAATCTTGAATCCGTGTTAAAGGCGAGACTCATAACGTATTATTTACACACGCCATAATATTTCAATTCGGAAAATATTTGGTCGCGCCGTCGCGAATTCCGCACTGACTAGTCACTTGATGACAAATATATACTCCGAGAGATGATAAATGAGGTCTAAAAATATGTGTTCAATCTAGAGTCTTTGTTGAAAAGTTTTTCAAACAGGAAAAAACGTGTAAAATTCGCTAGACTAACTTAAACTAGTCTGTTGGATTGCACGTTTTTATTTATTTGATTTACCCAGTGTTGGTTAATGAGCACTTCGTTCGACAACTCAATGCTAATTCTTCAGTGCTGTTCCTACTTCGGACTTCTTCCACCCTTTTTGCATGTAAACATTTCCGCGAATTTGTCACATTAGGAAATTAGTCCTTACATAAACATGGAAATAGACATAGAGACATGGGCATCACAATGTTTGCCTTTCCTTCACTTTTTGTTTTAAAAATAATACGTATCCTAAAGATTGACAAATGTCTATTGAACATGAAAGAACTCTTATTCTTTACTATTACTTCGCACATTTTATCTCATCCAAGCATCCCCAAAGACAACTGTTTAGCTGTCATTTAAAGTTCTCAGAAACAGAGACACTTCTCACAAAACATCTCAAAGCAATTTGCTCCCTCTCTTTCTCTTTCTATTTGAAAGCAAATGCTTCACGCCTCACTTGATCATTTTGGAACTGAGGCCGCGATACCGCTAGTTTCTTTGTTCCTGCATCCTCGTGTTTGTGTTTGAGACACTCTTTGTTTCAATTCTCCGGTAAGAAAAAAGACAAATATGCATTTCTACAAACTTGAGAAAGGAAGAATTATTTGTCGGCATTGATTAACAATTAATGTACTGCCTGTGGAGAAACTCAAAAATAAAAATGTTCAAAAATATTTTTAAACCTTGTAATCATTTTAAAATGTTACTCCAGACTTCACCTCTTTTACTTTATTTACCATTGACTCAATTATTACTAATTTTCATCTTCATCTGTTTCACATTCTTTAAAACTCAGCCCTTCGTTTATATTAACATCGCTATACAACGCCTTCAGAATTAGTTTCCTCCAACAACCATCTTCTTCATTCTCCCCACATATAACACATACCCCCACTCCACGCACCACACCCAAAGGAACGCTTTTGGGCACACATTACGGTGAAACATCTAACGGGGGCTTCCTTGGAAAGCGTCCTCCTTTGCACCGAGAACGCCTCAGTGGAACACACCCACCGCTCCACTCGCTCTATCTGAACGCACCTCCTTCACGGCCCACTTGATCGTTGCGTTACTCTCGTCGGGTAATGGCGCGTCAACAGGGTTCTGCAACGGAAACCTTCCAAACCCTCCCCTCCGCATCTCTCTCTTTCTCTCTCTTTCTCTCTCTTTCTCTCTCTCTCTCTCTCTCTCTCTCTCTCTCTCTCTCTCTCCTCCCTTTCTCTGTTGCAGACACACAAACGGAAAACTCCCTCCGATTTTAACTCCCATCCACAGCGCCTTTTCTCTCTTTGTGCACGCTACCTGAATTTCACCGATTCTTTTGAAGCTAAGCCAGTAGGTTTAACATCAAAAGAAGCTTAGGGGTTTGGGCGTCCGTATCGCTGAGAGGTAACGGGCTTATTATTTTCGGGTTTATCGCGAAACGCGAAGGCTGCGCGGGGAGAGGGGGAGAGTGACGTGGAAACGGATAGAAAACGCGACAAGAGGATAGCCGCGCTAACGATGAGGCGACGCTCAAATGCTCTTGCGGTCTGGATTGGGCCCATCGTCGGCACGATGCGGAGCGGAGAATTTCTCGCCGTTTCCCTCATCATCACTATCTTCAAGGGAGATAGAGCCGTCTTGAATGCGAGGCACTCAACGAAAGTTTAGGGGGGGCATCCAAGCACTCACACTTCATTATATGTTTCCATTTGTTTCATATTTGTATTGTCCATTGTAGCTTGCGGGTGGAAAAACTGGCTAGGCTATGTCGATAATAATAATAACAATAATGATAATGATAATAATATCACTAAATGATGATGATGATGATGATGATGATACCAACAACAACGTAAATATCTGAAAGCATAGAGCCAAGAATGTCAATGAATTTGTGAGAAATTGGATCATACATGAGATTCAATTTTGTACCTAAAATTGGAATTGAGATAATAATATGCGCAAATTACCTCTGGTGCCATATAAGGTTTTACACTCTGGTAACAGATTGAATTTAAAAATGCATGTTAAAAATGTGTCTGTAAGTTGTCTAAAGAGGGAGAAGTAATTAACATTCATTTTGGGAATGAACGCACACGATTTCAAGAATTTCCCATTGTTTATTTTGGTAATTGAGGACACACAGAAAAACATTTACCAAAAACAGCGAATTTGCCACTCGTCATGATTGTAATCAAGTCAGGAATGTTCAAGTCCTCCACAAAGTGCTGTACAGTGTGCAGGGGCCAACTGCAACACTCCTGCCTGATGCATAGAACTACATTGTGGAGAATCGTGTGTTTTTCATTTACCTCTTACCATTGTATTAAATCACTTTAATCTACTATATGCATCTACTATATACACAAACCTACAATTTAAAATATAACTATGCTCATTCTGTATATTCGGTGAAAAATGTGGAAATAGTTGTAATTAAAGTGTTCACAACTAGGTAGTGATGATTAATGCATCCAAATAATAAATGTGTGTGTACGTATATAATGTATGTGTGTACACATTTCATTGCATCAAAACCGTGTATTCTCTTGAACCTTACGGCAACCTCCCCTCTCCGACACTTCGCTCGTCTCCTGTACTGTGAGTTACCGGGGCAGAGATTACTTTACTCCATTAAGCTTTCTGTCGAGTTGGAACCCTCCCCCTTGTTTGTCGGATGCAGGCTTTAGCATCTCCATTTCTCTTTGCTTGTTAGAGAAAGATGTCCTTCAGAATATCATTTTACCTACGATAGCCAGTTAAGAGTGTGAATATCTCTCAGGTAATGAAGTAAAAGGGTTTAACCGTTGATACTCTTATACTAATGTCTGACACATGATTATAAATGAATATGACTTAAAATATTACACCACCTATAAAGAAGACAGGCGCAACGTTATTTGCTTTTGACGAGCAGTGATAAGAGGCACATTCAATATCTGTACACAATGTTCTAAAACAGCTGTGAAAAGTAAATGGGCTGCAGTTAAATAATGTATTTTTGACAATACTTTTCAATCTTTTTATAGTATTGGTTATCATCCGGCGATCTCATTCAGCGAAGAGTTTCCAAACGTCTGTACGAAGGTTATCTCCTGTATTGCAGAAAAGGGATTAGGATTCTGGAAGGGTTACAACGGAAGGAAAATGTCGGATGTTGGTAAGGGATTTGTGCTCCGAGACGGCGAATCAATACGATTCATCAAACCTTTGCACAAAATGCCGGTCACGTTGAATGCGAGACCCACTCCGAATACGAAGTGTGTGGAGGAAACAGATATTGCGGCAAGCTGAGAAGAAATACAG